CGTTTCGCTCTGTGCGTCATCGTATGCCAGCATGTCTGCTCGCCAGGACTGGGAGGTGCGACCGTACAAACAGTGACCAATCATCAACCTCTGTTTAACCTAATCTCCCAACTTGATCACAAGCAGCACCCTGCGTGTACACACTTGATCCGCAATGTACGCCCTGAATAAACTTGCTCCGTGCTACACGTCTGTTTCCTTTATAGCTGGGCTATAGCTTAGCTGGTTCTGGGAGTCTAGGTAGATGTTGGAGAATCTGCCATAGAGATTTCTGAGTCGGTCAGGCTTTACTAGTGTAGCAATCCGCTACAGGTGCTTATTCGGGTTGGCTGTTAGTTGGTTCCAAAAATAGCTTCACGAGGTGGAATTTTGCGTTTAAGCGCCCTGAGGGGATTTTCGGAAAATCTCGGTAGTGAGATTATAACTTCGAGCAATGAGAACTCATAGAGATCGAGAGTACTTAGGAAATGTGAGCGCCAAGATAAAAAAATGGGAAGCAATGATAAATCATCATTCAAAACTCGTGGTTATACTCACACCGGTTTAAGTACACTCCCGTCCTGAACAAAAGGGTTGAAATTATTGTGTTTATTGAGACTGACGTAACTCGTTTAGGAAGAAATAATAAAAAAATAAAAGCAAATCGATTGGCAATCTATTTAAATACTCCGATTAATGGAGAAAAATCGACTAAGCTGAACTTTTTAAAGACTTAACATCTGAAGCGGTTTACCAACTGCAAATTTTGGATTGGAATTAATTAAATTAAGTAATGGTTTAGACTTCTAGTAATAGAAAGTGATCTTAATGATAAGGCCCAATGGGCAGACGAAGGCTACTCACCTATATCGTCTTTCGCGTTCCTCCAAACGTTGCATTTCTATCAAATCAGCAGCACGAATTTCCTCGTATCTCATCTGCTGTTCTCTTATTCTGGCAAGCTCTTCCTCTTCACAAACTTCTAAAAGAGCTTGTTCCATGGTCTTTCCAACAAGAACTTCCAAAATTGGAATAACTTCTATGTCAAAATCAAACAGCTTTGCGGAAGGATATGGTCAGTATTATTTAATTTTTCATAAGTAGTATGCAACAGTGTAATGTGAAACTCACATCCCCAGGTAAGATTTGTGTGGATACATCCATTCCTGTTTTAGCAGGGACAAATATCGGTGTCGGTGGACGATCAAGCATGGCATCAGTTTGACAACTGACTGTGTCAGTTTCGACTACGTCAACGAGTTCTTCGAGGTATAAATCTGTCTGTATCTTATTGTGTTTTCTGCCATTCACCGGAGGTGGAGACTCACTCTAAAACATCCCATTAAAGATGGCAAACCTTAAAAATGGCTTTATAAGTGTGCTCAAAATTTAATTACAAGTAAGGCCTCGGTAAGCTAACCTGATATAATTTACTATTTCTAGTTTTGCGCTTTTTTGCGACAACTTCTTTTCCTTCATTAAGCACTTTTACGTTTCTACATGTGGGAAACTTAAGAACTGGGCATTTCCGATCCATAAAATGTCCGTAAATTTGGTAGTAATTTCTAGTATTTATAATTTCTTATTGCAATTTACTGAATATCATCTTTCCCAAATTTTAAGGTGGAGGGAACACTGCTGTAATCTTTCGGAGCTAAGCATCTAGAACCTAATCTTGACGTCTTCATCTTAGATTGAAATAAAGTTCCTGTGTATTGACCTTGGGGTCGTCAAATACCCGTTTGGTTTAAAATGGGTATTTTATTTTGATTGTTATTAATATATTACCAAATCTACTACGGGCATTTTAAATTGATTATATTTAAAAAGTAATAACCATGTTTTTTCAATCACTGATTTTTTATTTTTCAATTTATTGATGTAACTAACAACATAAAGATCAAAAGCAATTGATAAAACTACAACAATTAATTTTAATGAGATTGGCGAATTATCTGAGTCATTTCGAATATTTGAAATTTAATTAGAGTTTGGACTGGTGTAATAGCTAAAGCATATATTTTATTAAGACCAGTATTCATCATTTTCAAAAGCTTATGTTATAGCCACAAGTTTTATAATAATAGTGTCAATATCCACTTATTTGCTTTGAACAAACACTTAAGACTCATTTCCATAGAAATACATATTCATGTGCTTAACAATTATTGAAAATTGAGAATTATTAACTTGCATATATAAAATGCTCCAGTCTCACGGGATCATGATACGCGAATTCGGTTGCTAGTTCTTTTTAAGTAGTACGTCAAAATAAGCTTGCAGTTCGTTCAGTTGATTCATTGTATATTAATTAAAAGCTTGCAAATGAAAGGAAGATTTTTAAGAAATATAAACACAATGCTAGAATCACGAATTAAATTTATAATCAAACTGAATCGATAAAATCAGTTTCAAAAATTTTGCTGATTTATAATGAAGCTAATGGCATTAGCAGAGTTCTTTGAGAGTACCAGAAATATAGCGGCTAATTTGGTAGTGCCTGTCGGTGTTTTGTTTTTCATCAAACAGGTATGACTGAACGCAAAGTTTTAAATGTTGGTTTTCAATTTTTTTATTACATTTCATTTAGAAATACTTTCCTCCAGATTATGATCCGTCAAAGATTCCCCGACTTAAACGTGGTAATAAAAGTCGTCAATTTAACATCCGAACTATGGCTCCCTTTAACATGAGGTGCCTAACCTGTAATGGTTATATTTACAAAGCCAAAAAGTTTAACTCCCGAATGGAAACTGCTGAGGGTGTAAATTACCTTGGTCTTAGGCACTACCGGTTTTATATCCGCTGTCCAGGGTGCTGTGCAGAAATTATTTGGAGAACTGATCTCGAATCAAACGATTATGTCATCGAAAGTGGAGCTAAGAGAAATTTCGAAGCTCTTAAAACTGCCGAAGAGATGGAAGCAAAGAAAGCAGCACTGGAGGAAGAAGAACTTGCAAACAATCCTATGAAACTGTTAGAAAAACGAACGAATCAGAGCAAGTATGAAATGGAAACTGCTGAAGCTATTGATGATCTGAAGGAAATGAACAAACGGCAAGCAACAATGGAAACAGATAACTTTCTTCTGCGGAATTTGTGGCAAGAACAGGAAGCTGAACAAGCTGCAAGGGAAAAGGCTGATGAAGATTTTATTAAGGAAGTAATGGAAGCGAAAAAGCAGGGGATTCCGGTTTGGGAAATTGCCGAGAAGTTTGATCCTGATGATACAGCTACAGAAGGTCCCACTCTCAGTGAGCTCAAACCTGATTCTCTTTCTTCTCAGAAAGCTCCTCCCAAACCCAAGTCTTGCCTTCCAAAGGTACGTTTTAAATTAATTTCCTAATTTTTTTTAATACAAAGTATTAAACGTGTTCCATTCATTTTTGCTTCTTTCGTTTTTCTTGGCTTGTTGTTTTATGTGCTTTTCATCCTTTAAAAGAAGACGTAGACGCGTTTATTAACTCCATTTCCTGACGAAAAGGAAATGGGCTCAGTATTGTTATAACTTCTCTCTTGCTTGTTTTTTTTTGCTTCTATTCATTATTTATTTAGTCCTGTTTATTCAATTCGAAAGTCAATATTTATAATATAATCCTGCAATTTTAAAATATTTGTTTCCACACATTCAATTTACAAATATACAACACCATTATTTTTCCAGCTTTTAATGTTGTTTCATCGTTTTACCTTTTTTCCGTTAATTTTTTATGCTTTAAAGCGATTTTTAACTAACTGAAGCTTCATTTTCAAACTAATTTTAAGGCGGAAGCCGAGCCTGTTGGTTTTAGTTCCTTTCTGATTGCAGGGTTTTATTTCTTAAGAATTTAATTTAAACTCTTTAGTTCGTTTTAATGTTTCTAAACATGTTAGGACACAAGATCTGTTATTGGCAAGAAATTACTGAAAATTCGCATTCCCATCGTTTTGCTTCTCCGTTTTAGCCCCCTGTGCCATCTTCAAGCAGCCACCGACAACTGATTCAAAACGCCATCAGAAAACGTCCGGCTCCCACCTCAGCCCCAACAAAGACTGATATTGCGCCAGAGGAAGCGAAAAAGCCCAAAACTGCTGAATCTCCACTAACTAGTGTCCCCACCACAAGTTATAATCCCCTTGGTTTAGCCTACTCTTCAGGCGACAGCGAAAGCGATTAGCTTTTGTATATAAGGCACTCTTTTTACTAGTAAATATTCCATTTCTCAGCAAAAGAACATAATTTATAAGCAGATAAGCATTTGATTTAAATTGATTTTGAGATAGCTCTGCAAGCAGCTTTGATGATTTCGTTGACTCTCGCTTCCTCTAGGACATTGAATAGCCAATCATACGCTTTCTTAGCCATCAGACGCCATTCGATTTCACGTTTGATTTCTTTAAGGCGCAGGAAAGCTAGAACTAGGGCTGTCGTCCAGATATCATCATGCAAGTCGGAAACTGAAATAGAGATAAGGGGAACCTTATCAACTTGCTTACTCATGTCAAAGTAAGTAGCATCGAACAACTCACATTGTTTACGAAGGACATCCTTTTTAGAAGTTGGGAGTGAAATGACCTTTGCAAGTTTTTGTGTCCACGTCCAAGCACCGGAGAAAAGCTGGACTTCGGCTATGATAATGATTGCGTCGATGTCTTGTGGTATTTCAAAAATTGTGTCCACTTCCGGTCGAAGGCTTAGCTTTCTGTTTACGACTGAAATAATTAAAGTGAAGTCGAAAGTCAAAATTTCTTCAGCTGCGTTGAGTGAACAAAGTTCAACCGAACGCGGAAAACATAACTATGATTCTTCAATAACGGTTGAAGCTAATGCCTGTCAAATATGCTAGGACGTTTTTGTGAATCCTTCAAAGACGATAAATGCTCATTTACAATAGTTACTAGGTGTCTGAAAAGACAAAAAATGACCAATCTTGACATTGCCTATCAGCCTTGAGCGATGAGGGCGCAAGTCTGAACCATTCTCCTAATCATCGGTTATTGAACTATCTGTTAGTTAGTTTCACCTACATCCTACTTGTAAAATTTTCAATCTTTGCATCATTGTTAGTGCAGATAATTATTTGCAATGCTAGGTTATGATACAAAGAGTAAAGCTTAATTAGACGATTTTGACTATCAGGGTACCCTTTGTCTATTCTCATATTATTCATGCCTTTGTGTGCAAGCCTAGCATCGAATAAAAGCCATAAGGTGCGTCCATTATACCACGATATTGGTAACGATTGAAATGGAGGTGACATTATTGCTTAAATCTGTAAACACCTAATCCGAATACCAGATAAGATGATACAAAGGCCCGCGCCGGAATTTGGTCAGCTGCCTTCTGTTAATACCAGTGATGCATAACCATGTTCCGGTAAAGCTTGATTCAACCGAGATTGGTCTGGACCCACGCTGGAGAGCGGAATCCATGTAAATAAATACTTCTTTAAAATGACCACAGTGCAGGTTGGAAGCTCCCAAATCTCATGGAAGTGGATAGGAGCGCATTTCAAAACGAGTGCCATTTTACCAAATTAGTATCAAAAATATCGTTAGCGAGAACCTATTTCGAAACCTTTGAGGCCATGTTTCAAATTTGTTAGCTTTTTAACTCTCATAGTAAAGCCAAAGGAGATTATTTTTGGGGAGTATTCGGTCACAAGGAACTTTTAAGAGATCCAATACGAGTTAGGAGAATGGGGATAAGCAGAGTTAGGGCAAGAAGTCATTTGACATTTTGAGTGGGTAGAGTCAACTGCTTCTAATGTCTCAATTTCAGGATTTATTCACTATTTTCCGATCAGTCGCCAAAAATCCCCTTTGTTCAATTAATGGTCACGATACTGACCGGTTTAACAAGATTCTCATATAACGGTGCCTATGTTACTAATGATGCTACTATTTAAAATAGCTCTAAAGGACTAGATTTCCTCAAAAACCAGTAATTTGCAATTTCACGAGACTTATTTATATTTATTTGTAACAAATGGCAGGCGTTTTGATAGTTATCATTAGCCCTTTAGTTGACTTCGGGCTTCACAGAGGGGAGAAGGAATATCAAAATGAGAAGAATTCGAGTGGGAGAACAGAAGAGTGATTCACAGATGTAAAAGAAACAGACAGACACCAAGGCTCAGAAAGGGTAAGATGAGTACTGTGGAAGGGGTCGAATATGACATACAGTGGGGTCATGGTAGTTTGAAGTCAGAAGTCAACTGCCGATTGATAGACTTTTTGCCGTATGATTATACGTTTCCAAGGGTGCACCAATTGGAGGTAAGTCTATCTCACACCCCAATTTCACGAGACTAAGTTGGCATAAAGCTT